CAGCAGCAGCAGGGCCGCGGGACGGCTGTTCGCCCGGAGTCGTAGGCGGGGGGGGGCGGCAGAGCGGTCTTCGTCCGCGGCGGGCCCGGGGTGGGCCGGGGCAGCCGTTGGGGGAAGCTCCCAGCAGGGCCGCGGGACGGCTGTTCGCCCGGAGTCGTAGGTGCCCTCGGGTGGTGGCCGCACGTCTCTGCTTCAGGCGGCGATCGATCGTGTTTTTCTCGGTGTTGGGCGTCTCTTGGAAGAATTCAGGTCTTACTTCATTCTTATTTCCTACAGTCATCCTAGGTGGGAGAGTGCAGAGTCTCCCCTGGAGTGTTGGGCGCAAGGAGGTTGGCAACGGCTTTCTCCTGACAAAATGGTTTCTGTACGTCTCTTTACGTCGGCAGCAGTTTTTATAAGCTGCTGCTCTGGTAGCAAAATCGCAGGTACCTGAAGTTTCAGAGCGCACCTGCAGCACCTCGTGTGTGACCTTTCCCCGTTAATTCGCCAGCTAACCGGGCCGCTGCTCTGTTTAGCCGCTTCCCCGGGAGGGGAGAGCGGAGGGTACTGCCCGGCTGAGGTGAGAGCGGCCCCGGTGACATGTGCGGATGTTACGCAACGAAAACACAAGAGACAAGCAGGACCAGTTTGGATCGGTGCTTTTGTTCTAGGGATCCATTAGCCTCAACTGCATGTAGGTGCTTGCGTGTAGCTTGCATGTAGATGACTTCATTTATAGGATTCATTCAAGGTTCATCACTGACACTCCAAAAGACTTGAGCTGGCTGTTTTTTTTTAACTCACGTTAGTTTCTGTCTGACAGATACCACGCCATGTTTGCGTTTTTGGTACTGCTGTGTCAACTACAGGTGATGATGTTTGCATTTCCTCACTGCACAGGGAGATTAAATAACTTGAAGCAACCTGAACGGAAAGATGGTAACTTACTTTTAACGTGATTTTATGCTTTCCAAAATAAAACTGTATCTAACTTTGCTTCTGCTGAGAAATCTTTTTATGTATGTAAATAGCTTTTTTTTTACTTCATTAAAAAAATTAAGCTGTTTTATGCTTAATTTTAGAATATTTGAATATCTTTTGCTGAAATGATTGATAATTGACTTGGGTGTTGATGTTAAGTATTTATCAGATCCAGTAGGAAGTGCAGATTGGGACAACTGAGCTTTCTTTAGGTCTCTAGGGTTATTGTCATTGCTATAACCAGAATCCTCTAAGTAACATCAAAATTCCAAAAGTTTGAAATCTGTATTAAGACAGTACTGCTTTGGTACTACTTGAGCACATCACAGTTTTATTTGTATATCTAAAATTGCTTTGTATTTGAAAGGGTTTATTTGCTTGTTTTGAGATTGGTATTTTTTCTCAGTACCAGATCCCCTTACAACACCTGTAAAGCTAAACATAGTGCTGCTATTGCAGTTCTGCCCTTTGGAGGGAGGGAAGTGGAGAGGAATTGAGGTAAAAACAAATGAAGTTCCCAAAAAGGACTCAAGCACTACAATGCTAAGCTGTGTGACACTTCACATTTAAGCATCAGAGCTTCAAAAAGGAATTTGTAACTTAGCTGTCCAGTCTCCTCCGTGGGTAGCGTGCTGAAACCTTAAGGCAGACTTTAAAAAGTCATCTCATTGAGCAGGAGGCTCCTTCAGGGCAGTATGTTGAGCAGAAAACATGGCTAGCAGAAAAATGCTTGAGACAGGTTATTCATTAAAATCCATATTGCTCTGTGGCATAAAACGTTGGGCTGCCAGGCTGCCTCTTTCCTGTGAGTTCACGGTGTAGAACCCTCTCCTGACAATAGGCCCAGATCACTCCTTCAAAGATGGAGCTGGAAAGAGAGGGGCCCAACTCTTCATCCAATAATTTAGCAAGTAGAACAGCTGCCAAGAGTATGAGGTACCTGCATGGAGAGGTTAACCCTTCAGCATTTTCTGAACATCTTTTACCAGCAGAGTTACTTTATTTAGCACATCGTGTGGATGCATTTTTAAATGCTAGGCATCCTAAAACTGGATTTACCATTTCATTGAACCATGGCCTAAGGACTGCAGTTCCCTCACATATAGGGGAGAATTCAAATCCATCTGTTTCATTCTCCAAATGCTATCTTAGTCAGGTTGTAGGTAATTCGGAGATGGAGATAGGTGCACTTTGACTATGTCCTACAAAATGAAAAAAGTGCAGATAAATGGATAAAGACTCTTTGAAAGAGAAAAGGAGCATGTATCACTGGGAATTAGGGGTCCTAGGCTCCAGGCAGCTTGCCTATGCATTCCATGTTAATTAAAATGCATCAATTATCTTACCTAAGTTAATTAAGAAGTATAGCAAATACTACTTGCGTGGTAAGGAATGAAACATTACTGAGCAAAACTGAAGATCTCTGTTTCAGAAGACTGAAGTTATTCTTGCGATTTGCACTTAATCAAGATACTGGTAATATTTTTTTCCATGTAATTCTTTTCCCTTTCCACTTGTGGGTCTGGGGATTCTTTTTGGATGAAGTCCTTCTCTCTGGTTACTCTTAGATATAGCATAAATATTTTAAGCTTAGATTTTCTTGCAATTACTTTAGAATAACACATTTCCCTTCCTACACAAATGTGTGTGTACACGTGTGGCTCCTTCAATAGATACTGTAATATTATATAAATCATATAAAGATATACTGTAATATTCCTTCAATATACTATAATATTAAAGACATAAACAACCACTATGCAAGTTACACTGTAGTTTTCTTAGTTTTCAGAGAGCAAACCATTTTGAGATACCATTGCAAGATCTAACAGTAACTATTAGGGTAAAAATTCCTGAATGATGCGATAATCTCGGCAAACAAGCTAACAAGAACACAGAGCTAATTTGTAGCTGAATAATGTTATTCTGAATCTTATCTCCTTTTTTAGCCGTCTAGCTTGGTACGTAACAATGCTGTTTCTGCATTACACTTGCAAAAATAATCCTCTAGTCATTTTGCTTAACGGAATAGTCTGAGTTTCTTGGAGTATAGCTTAGGCTTTCACTAGAAAGCAAGCCAGAAAGCTAGTTCTGTCATATAAAGATTTTTTTTTTTTTAAAGAAGCTGTAGCAAGAGCAGGCTAAAACTTGACTATGGAAAATGCCTGGTGAGAAAATGCATTCCTGTATTCCAAAGCCTTCTACAATTTCACTAACTCTTCTGGAATCTCACCTCACAATGTACTCCATGAGGCCTCATGGGGCCTGTAATAGGCACAAAAGAAGAAAATAATTAAATGTCTTCAGAAGTGCCCGTTGTCAGTAAACTCCTATCATGGACTAATTTAAAACAAATAAACTTGGCAATATGCCGACCTTTACATAAAACTTGCTGCCATGATTGTGAAAAGAGAACAAATGTAAAATTAATAGGATTCTGCTGCTATGATTTAAAATCCAAATTCCACAAACAAAATTTGGAACTCTCAGATACCAGAATGTTGATAAATGTATATTGAGGATTCTTTAGAAGGAAGAGTTTTTTGGGTTTTTTTTACCTTTTTTTCCCCCCCTTGCCTCCTTCCTCCAGTAGGTCAGTGTCTTGCTGGGTTTGCATCTGACTGAACTTCTGCTTTATGCAACCTATTACTTTGTTCTTAAGAGCTCCAGTAAAAAACTGATGCCCCCATCCCAGAGGGATAATACCAAAACTTGAACAACAGCTGTCATGAGAATCAAATTCTCTTGGCCAGCATAAGGAATAGCTGAAATGCTTTATGAGAAAGGAAAATATGTTTATTTTCTATTGTGTACTTAGAAAAGTTAGCAGCGAAGAAGACATTTTAGGAGGAGACCTTGATGTTTCTTTTTCCTGTATGTAGTTGAGAGATGCTAGGGGAAGAAGGGGTCTCAATGTGCTCCTTAAGGATGTCCTTTAAAAATACCAAATTTAGCTTTCCTAACTTGTTTTAAATTAACTTGATTTTTTTTTATTAGTGTTCACATCAGAAAAGGAGGCCAATTTATTCATTGGACGGCATCTTCTGAATAACAGATTTGATTTTGAAGCATTCACAGCAGATAACCTGGAAAGAGAATGCTTTGAAGAGCTGTGCAATTATGAAGAAGCAAGAGAATTTTTTGAAGACCCTGATAAAACGGTAGCTGTTCAAACTGAATTTAATATATTGAAGGAGGTTATTGACTAAATCATTACTGTATCTAAATACTGTAGCCCTTCAGAGAACAGCACTTAAAATAAGATGATTGCTTCTTTTACTGCAAAAGGAGAGGCCCCAGTTAGATGTGGTTATTGCTTTAGATACACAGTGAATACACCTGAATATCTACTATTGCCTTACAGACTTTAGATAAGGGCTCCAATTCTGCTAACAAATATAAATGAAACTTCAGACATACCGCTTGTGGATATACCTATATGTGTTTTCAGAATCTCATTATTTTTTTTTTAGTAACTTCTCAGCATCCAATTTGAATGCGTTCCACATGCTCTATGTATTAATTGGCAGATCGTGTCCTTGTGTCATGCCAAAGTAGTGTTTTAGAAGAGAGGAGTACAGAGTAAATCCACAGTTCAGCTATTGCTGAGTACTCCTATAGCATTATCTTCTAAATCGCTACCTATACACAGCTTGGAAGAAACCTGGTATAAAAAAAGAGAAAAATACGTAAGAAACCTTTCAGCCCGATAATGGAACGTGATGATTGTCTGAAGACTGGCTCTTGCTGCATGCAGCAAGAATCTCTTTGTGATTCTAGATGTGCTCTGCACTAACCTGCAGAAAGAGCAAGGAATACACTCCTATTCTGAAGGGGGAAATGTTAGTTTGCCATTGCTAGCCTTTTCCTAAGAAAAAGGTGAAAGTTAAATCGGAATCTTGATGGAGTCGTTTGCTGGGTAGCAAAAGTGGAAATTATAGCTAAACACATTTAATGCATAACAGTCATGCAACAAAGGTTTTTCTCTGAAATGAATCCCATTATTTTTCCTACCTGATATGAATTCAAATACTGTTCATGCAAATGTCCGATTCTTAAGAACTTGACTTTGCCTCTATACTCTTCTGTAGGGATTTACAAAGATTAATTGTAAGCATTTTTTTAGTGTCAGAATATATGCTAACTTCTACTGTAATCAGGCAGAAATATGAGGTAACATTGGACAGTTAAATGCACTTTTCTCTTTCACCAGCTGGCATTTGCTTCTTTGTGAAATTGTAATTTTTATGCAAACTTGAACGTATAAGAAAAATATGGTGGGATAAGCAAGTACAAATCCTTCAGCGGGAGTTGCTTCTGTTTATGCCATTGTTAAATTTTGCCCACAGTACCATATAAAAAAAATTGTTAATAAGCCTGCCAATATAGCTCATATAAATCTGATCCTTTGTGTTTTTATAGATGGATTTTTGGAAAGACTATTCAATTAAAGGCCCTAAAATAAAAATAGGTAAGTAATCTTTTTATTATTTTCTTATATTGCAATATTTTGTTTGTTATAATAGTACATGCTTAAAAATACACCATGCATTCAGTTAGCAAAATCAGAATTGATCTTTTTACTGAAATTCACTATGAACTGTGCAAGTATATTACATTATCTGATTCAATAAAACGTACTCACTGAAGTGTCTTGCTCACAGTGGGATCCATTATAAGTCTGTACTTAAAAACAATATGAATTTTGTTGTCCATTTCTTTGTTTTATTACACAGTCAGTAAAATTTGCAGTAATTCTGTGGCTGCTTTCTGTGGCTTTGTTTCGTTTGTCCCGCCTCCTCCCCCCATTTCTTTAATAGTAATATAACAGTCTGGTTCAGGTTCAGAGTAGTCTTATGCCAGATGTTTTATAAAAAATGGTCAATATGACTTGAGGAAAGATCTACAGCCTGATCAAGGTCACGAGTACACAAAGTAATATTTGGAAGGCATTAGAAGACAGACATCTCAACAGTTTTATGTACAGAAAAGGGAATATCTACTCACTTTTGCTTGAAGCTGAATGTGAATGATACTCTTGGGTTGTGTTGCGCAGATATGGCTTCTCACCACAAGCTAGACATTTGTGGAAATTAACAGCCTTAAAGCACAGCAAAATTAGTATTTCACAGCGTATACTGTATACTATGTAGATGGAAAGAACACATAATGAAAATAACCAATGTTTTATCTTCAGGTGATGAGACACTACAAAAGATTAATGTTACAGGACTTCTCATCAGTCTGGTTGCTGCTGGAGTACTGTTAGTTATAATTGTACTGCTTATCTTCTACTGCTGCAAAAGTAGATGCAAATCAACGCAACCACCAGGGTAAGGAATTTAACTGCTTAAAAAAACCCAAGCGCCAAAATAAACTCTTAAGAGTGGAATTTAAAAATCACTGTGAGTTGGTCTAACTGTATTCTCAGAGAATCCAATGGGAGTTCTAGTTCTTACTTTCCTGGAAGCCAAGTTAGGTGAGCGCTAGCAGTAGTTATGCTGAAGTTATGAAACAACACTTCCATGGCTGACGTACCTTTGGGGTTTTTTTTGTGTGTGTGTGTTCTTGGTTCCAAAATATTCTTACTAAAAAGATGGAATCATTCTAATAAGTTAGGGCCTGCAGTGGAAAGCCTAACGTGTTCTGTTCGCTCTTTAAAGTGGGGTGTATGCTCTTCATGGCATGTAGTCTACCTCAGATGTGAAATGAAGTAGGCTGGAGGAAATGCTTCTCTACCAATTTTCTAGCCCTTCTTGTTCCTTTATCGTAAACGTGAAAGGCATACAAGAGGATTCTGTGCTTCCTCTTCCCTATAAATTTCACATTACTGAGCTATTCTTACCCTGTGGTTTGGAGAGAGTATTTGGCTTCTGGTCTTTATGATCATTGAAGGCAAGTGGTTTTTTGTGTTGTTTTTTCTGTTTGTGGTTTTTTGTTAGTTTTGGGGTTTTTGGTGGGTTGTTTTTTTTTTTTGGGGGGGGGGTTACAACTAAGACTTTATATTCTTTCTTCCCTTTAAAACAGAAGCTGCCACTTATAATGCTGTTAACTTTGTTTAGGTACTTGGATTATGTAAGAAGTAGAAGACGCAATTCATCTAGCATCTTCAGAAGGCACGAAGAATTTTCTTTAAACCCACTTCCTCTCAGAACTGATGATTCAGGACTACCAACTTACGAGCAAGCAGTTACTTCAGATGGACAACATGATGTGCCACCACCCCCCTATCCAGGGCCCCCAAAAGGGGCACGGGTGTTTAAAAAGTCTATGTCACTTCCTGCCCCTTAGTCACAAACCTCCTTCTGGGGTGAGGGGGGATTACTGAAATGTAACATACTTTTTTAAAAAGTGTGTGTTACCTTGCATATTGCAAGACAGTTTACAAAAATGTGAAAGATCTTTAGCACAACTAGGAACAAGTGAAAATCCCATTTGGGAAAAGAGGTTATCTGTTGCAAAGGCTGCAGGACTATTCTTTGCACAAGGTTATTGCGCTAAGAGGAGAGAATGCATAAAGAGTACATCTTGTACATCTGCCACCCTCTTCCATGTGCACTTTGAGCCATCCCATTATACTACTGATGTTTCATTAATAGTTTCATCTTTTTTTCTCTAGAAGGAACAGTATTTTAATTGGTTTTATTGACACCATTTTTTGTGACTATTAATACTTTGAACCACCATAAGAAGTCTGCTTTGTTGTTTGATAGATTCACTTCATTGCTGTGTGAATTTTCTATTCATTCTAATAATAGATTTGCATATGAAAATTATTTCATAATTTGATCTTTTAAATGTATATATATTACTGCTTCTGGATTACACTGGTTTGTTTTAGACACTGCTGGTTAACACTACTCAATTTGTTGTATTTTTGTGATTGTAATTTTGGATGAAAAGGAACCATTAATGGCATGGCACATTACCCATTTGGACAAAGTATAGTTTTATCGAACGGTTTTGATATTCAGTTTGACCTGGTATTTAGTGCTGAACAAGCAGAGTACTATGGGTCGGGGGATGTTAAGCAAATAGCTAGACATTTGTCCCTTGCTTAAAAAGTACCCAGGTTTCACAGATAATGTTTCTCTTGCAGTTTAAAAATTTAAATGTTGAAAAAGACATTTAGCTTGTGGAATCAAAGGCCAAACTACCCCACAGAAGCACTTTGCATAAGTATGTATTGCCCTGCTGGGGTGACAAAATGATACCTTTAAGGAGCATGAAACATCATATTAGATAAATAACCAGTATCCACAGAGCAGTAGTCAAGAATTTCAGGGAGTTACTGGTTAACTGTATCAACACTATTTCTTTATCTCCAGTTGTAGCCACCCTTAAATTTACATCTTATTAAAATATCCACCCCCCAGCACTATATGGCCTACAGATCTCATTGAGCAAGTCACAGACCAACATTGCTGTCGCTTTACCTCCTAGTCAAATGGCACCGTAGTGGAAAAGGCTTCCCATAGCCACAGGAAGCCATGTCAGAGGGTCTCACAGGCAACATGTCCGGCTGGTGTTTTCTTGTATTACAGTAGCTATATAGTTGGACACGTGCAATGAAGTTTTTTAAGAAGCAACAAATTCCCCCCCCGCACACACACACTCCCATTTGACCAATGCTGACAGCAGCAAATGGTGTTTTAATTTGGTGCCTAAAATGCACTTTATATTCTCAAGGTTGAATATTTGTATGTAACATTTCACTGACTTTTATGGTTTTTAACATGCTAGAACCTACAGCGCTATTGAGTGAGATGCAGAGGATTGCTATGAGATTTTTAATCTGTAAATGCTTTTGTAAAGAAGAAAATGCTCCAAATCTTGGAATATAAAGAACGTATATTGAAAATGCTACACAAGGAGGTCTTGCCCTTTGAAAAATACATACAGCCCAGCTGGTGTCAGTGGACATTGGACTGTGTTCTTATTCCTAAAGCTTCAGCGTCAGATTTGGCTTTTGACAAGTCACAAACCTCTTTGCAGCTTCTTTCTTGTTGAGAGATGGGGGAATCCCCTCGTTGGGATAGCTTCAATTCACTTTCACCCTACTTGTAAAAGCATTTTGAAGTTCTTGGAGGTTACTATTTTGTAATACTGAAATAAGTGAATTGTGTGAGATCACTGTTGATAACTAAAATACAGAGTTATGATGAAGCTATAGAATTATAAGCTTGCAAAAACATTTCTCCCATATTTCCTTTTCATTTAGCTAACAATTTTTAAATTTGTTAATGTGCATCTTGAGCTATAGAGCACACTTTTCTCTAGATTTTTCCTGAGACTCAAAAATGACTGATTTAATGGGACTGATAGGAGCACTTTCAAGGAAAGGGATTGCACAGGGCTTGTGAGAGTTCAGAGATTCTTTAACGTTACTACAGTGGTGTACGCATCTGGCAAAGTCACGTTTTAAATAAACTACAGAAATTGTATAGAAACCTATTTAATCACTTGAAATTTGATTCTTCTACTATTCCTACAAATCATTGGCAAATGATTCCATGCAATGCAAGCAAAAATCTTGATGTTCATAATTAATAAAAAACCTTAAGATGGTTTAACTGTTGAACATCAACGCTGTAGCTCTTTGGGCAGTAAACTGCACCTTCTGTAGGGTATAACGGTTCAAATTTACTCAAAGAATCTGCACTTTAGACCCTGAAGATACTCAAAATATGCAAAAATTAGTTGCATGTAGCTTGACAATTTGCAAGAGACATTCTGCTTATTATAAATAAGGAGCAAAGTTTAAAATTTAGTTGAACTTAACGTAAACTTACCTCTCCTTGTAAAGGGAGAAAATTCCCTTGAATAGCACTTGTTTGGGTTGAGTTTGTTTTTCTTCTTTCATACATTTACTCCTGGCCCAAGACGCTCTTACCTTGTATCTTGTCTCTTTTTAGAACTTCTGATTCATCAGGGTTAGCAGAGGAAAAATCAACAAGAGGTAGACCGTGGTGACTTGTGAATTCAGAAGTGTTGCCACATTTCCAAATTTGACATGCAGTTTCTTTTGGAAATGCAGTTGCTATTAGAATACAGAAAACAGCAAATATAAGCGTCCTTAGCTGGGAGGAGAAGGAGGAGGAGGTAGATTTTGAGGAGCAAAGCAGCAGCGAGTTTAATCTAATTTGTATACAGATGTAAATCATCAGTGTTTTGACTTCTGGATTTTCTTTCAAGGGCCAGTAGGAAAAGCAGTGGCTTTTAAGTGAATTAACACATATCTACTATGACAGTTGAAAACAGAATTGTCTAACCAAAACACTGGGAAAAATTACGTAGTACTTAAAATTCTGTTTCTCTCAGAACAGGTTTAAACATGTCACACTAAATGCTGCTAGCCATCGCCTTGAACAATTTTCCAAAAACTTCCTGTGTTGCCCTTTCAGCGTCATACAAGCTTACAGCATGCAACTTTTTATAAATCAGGAGAGATTATTAGAGCAAATAACTGAGGGTCAGAAAAGTGGTCTCTGGCTCTGTCAGCTGAAAAATAAATCACTTAGCCTGTTTTTTGCTTCAGTGACACAAGAAAGCCTATCAAATCCTCTGATGAATAGTATTATAAGCACTATGTATTTCAAATTTTTTTTTTTTTTGTGAATTTATTAGAACAGGAAAACCAAAGTACCAAATGGAAGTGCACTTCCTCACCAAAGTTCATGAAAATGTGAGTCATGAAGCATTTGATTCTGGTCCTATCAAAGTCTACAGCAAGCTTTTTATTGGCTTCAGCTGAACTGGGATTGGAGCCAAAACTGAAATAACTGATCACTTCTGGTAATAAAAAGTATGCTCTGCCAAATTATTTACCACAATGCTGTTGCCAAACCTGATTTAGAGTATTCTATTGTTTTAATGATGCCTACTGAAATTAACTAGAATGTTTGAGGCTGATCTGCCCTTAAAAAGTGTATTTGAAATTTGGAAAGCATAGGAAAATTCCTTGTTTTTCCTCAGATTACCAGCCATGAATAAGCTGCATTAATTACTGGTAAGAGGTTATTAGCAACACTGTTTGATTACCTTGATCAACAGTATGGGTTCATTTAAACCTTTTTTCTTTTTTAAAAACAAACAAAAACCCAGCAAACTTTTCTATCTACAGTCTCATCTGCCAACAAAAGTTTTATTGCTGCTATCCTCACTTGTTCCATGTGGTGTAGAGAACAGGAAGGAAACCCCAGGTTTAAAAGCCGTCTTTCAAACACTTCAAGCTTGCTCTTTCTCTACTGTAAATGTCTTTCAATCAATTCCTATCACATACAAATTTATCACTATTATCATTTTCACAGTCAAGAACTTGGATGTGTTTTCCTCTCAAAAATCTTAAGCACATCTTCCCAAATACCCTGCTCTTTATTCAGGTGATAACTTTTGACTGTTTCCAGTCATTTCTGAACTGTGTGAACAGTTTTTGTTACTTAATCTTATGAACACATTTCCTTCTACTCATCTGACAGAGCCTTTTGAATGCACTTGTCACTGGTTATATTTTAATTCTAACTTTGATGTTAAGTGCTGTCATTTTGGTGGAGGAGGGATAGCAATATTTTAAACTTTGCTTGTGTCTATATTATTTTGTTAAACAATTTCCAAATAAACATTTACGCAAGTTAATCATAGCAAAGAGAAAATGCTAGTTCAGCCTGTGATAAAAAGTTAAAAAACCTGACAACCCTTTTGATTTTTATTTTTTTTAAATGAAGTTGGTAACTGCATGCACTCTTCTTCATGCCATATAGCACCTATCAACAGGGAAAAAGGGTCATGGTTTATTTTCTTTTAACACTGGTAATTTCTACTCTGGACAGAAGCTTCCTACTTCACTGCTCTAGTTCACTTAAGCATCTGAGGTTCTGAACCATGAACTGCAGTCACTGAAGATGAAGTCTTCAAGACAAACAAGCCAACTGAACCAGGTGTTGTACCCTTCCATCTTCCTTGACTTTCACCAGATGATTTAACCCAATAATGTGGCCAAAAAATATCCACTTTCTTAAGGTTAGTGAAGTGAGCAAGATCACTCTGGTGAGGACGAGAACAGGCATGCAAAAGCAACGTGGGAAGCAGACCTTCCTCGTTCAGTAATGGTGATTTCAATCTGAAGTGAAGGTACGCATTGTGCAATGAGGATAAACTTCTGCAGAGAGGCAGGAGGGACAGATGAGGGCAGCTAGATAGAGAAAATACTGTAGCACAGCAAATTACACTAAATTAAGCCACTCTTGTTTTGCCCACTGGAAGACAATGGTCAGATTTGTGCTTTTTCTCCC